ACCCTTGACATTTCCAATGTAGTAACAAAAAAACCCTGGGATCAGGATGCCTCCATAGGTTGTGATGGCATATTCAAAAATGCACAGCATCAGAGCAATTTTTCCCTTCTCAAAGTGAGTGACAGCACTTAGAAAAATCTATCTAAAATGTCCTTCCTTAGGCTCTGGAAAACAGTTATCAGTGATACCATTGTCTTCCAACAACCGTTTTTAAGGGAGCAGTTGATAGAGGCCACATGAGAACACAGTATTCTCTGGAGACTACACTGGAAGTCATCTCTTGCGCAAGCAGAGGAGAAGAGAATGGTTATTAGAAGATGTTGTCGCTGCCTGGCTATTGCTCCTTTACAGCATTTACTAAGTATCACACTTTGGAGGCATGGCTTCTATCACAGAATCACAGAATATGCTGTGGAAGAGAACCACAAGGATGATCGAGTCCAGCTCCTGGCTAGGCGCAGGACCATCCCCAAGACTCACACCATGTGCCTCAGAGTATCATCCGAATGCCTCTGTCAGGTTTGGTACTGTGACCACTTCTCTGAGGAGCCTGATTCAGTATCCAACCACCCTCTGGGTGAAGAACCTCTTCTAGTATCCAACCTAAACCTCCCCTGACACAACTTCAGGTCATTCCCTTTCATTCTGTCAATGAGGTCTCCTCTCCATCTCCTCTTCTGCAGGCTCAACAGACCAAGTGACCTCAGCTGCTCCTCATCCAGCTTCTCCTCAAGGCCCTTTACCATCTTCGTTACCCTCCTTTGGACACTCTCTAAGAGCTTAATATCTTTCTTATATTCTGGTGCCCAAAAATCCACACAATATTCCAGGTGAAGCCTCACAGTGCAGAGCAGAGCTGGACAATTCCCTCCCTCAACCGGCTGGCGATGCTTTGCCTGATGCCCCCAGGACACAGTTGGTCCTTCTGGCTGCCAGGGCACTGCTGACTCATATTCAACTTGCCATCGACCAGGACCCCCAGGTCCCTTTCCTCAGCACTGCTTTCCAGACCATAATAAACTAAGGAGTTTGAGATTACAAATTCAGGCCTTGCTATACATGAGTACTGGCATATATAACTTTCCACAATTGTCACAGAAACAGAACAAACATCTAATCATCTTTACTAGGCCATTGAAAGCCCCAACTGTTAGTGATTCTAATCAGCTTTGGCAAAAGCTATTTTAACACTTGGGGCAGTGAGGAAGGTAGAGATCAAAGTCTCAGTCGCAAGAATATTACCTTTCAGAGAGGGCTAATCTTATTGCTGCAAAATAAAGCTATCAGTTCTTAAATGAGGCTAGTTCAGAGAGCAATACAGTAACCATTAAACTTACAAATCAGAACTCCTAATCCTTGCAGCACGTTTGACTAAAAAAGCAAGCTAAGCACAGATCAGAAAGATAAACAAAGTTTTAGCAAGACCAGCAGTAGGTCTCAAAGAGAAGTTCCTCATAGACAACCTTTATTCTTTCAATTATTTGTGCAGAGATTAAAAAAAAAAAAGAAAAAAAGGCAGGTCAGGCTCTGAAACTTAGAAAAGCATCACAGTATTGGTTTTCTACTACATCTCAAGTTCCTTCTTTAAGAGCTAGTTTGCAGCAGCTAGTTAATGTTGCCAAAATCTGAGATTTCTTCATGAGCCATTTTTGATGTTAAAATACTGTAGATTCTAGTCTCTTATCTCTTTTAATTGCTGACTGGAATGGACTCTGTTGGAGTGGAAGTGAAAGAAGGGTTTTTACATTTTTCATATTTGCCTCAGGCTACTAGCAGAAAAATTCAGGACTTTTTCTAAGGTGTGTCAGTGCCAATGATGTGTCACATGTCATTACTTTATAATTAGGCTGATAGACAAAAAGAATAATGCAGCTGACATTCTATTAAAATAAAAATTATTCCCCAAGGCATAAAAACACTGACACAAGCATCTTAAAAGGCAGTGTAAAAATGATATAGGGAACTATTTATCTCTGCTGCTGTCTTTTCCATCACAGATTCAAATAAGTAATTCTAAGTTATGTATGTATTGAATATTTAATTATCCTATGCTGATTTTTTTAAAAAAATCATATCTGAAAGCAAAATGTAAGGAAATTCTTCTTTGGCTAGGAATAAAAGCTACTATGAGAATAACAGGCTATCTGCATGCTATATTACTCGAGATTACAATTTGATAATCTGCCTTTCTACAATTCTTCAAATAAGTAACTAATCACAAACCAAATACATTCAAAAAAAAAAAAAGAAAACCAGCCTCTTTTGTCAAGAGTTTGAAATTTATTTAAAATGCAATAATGATTCTATAACAATTCAATGTTAAATACTGAATTTGTAAACACTAGCACTTCATTCTGTATAGAATTTTCTATACAATGCTCCTAACAGAATCAGGATTTAGGCAATGAAGGGCTAACTACTTCATGTAGTTTAGAATACACTTAGTTCAGATTGTGTTAGACAGCTTAGAAGAATTACCAGGTTACAAAATTGTAGTTTATAGCACAGGCAACAGTCTTCACTCAGCATGGCTAAATTTCACCTCTTCATTAACACAAGTACTAAGAGAAGTCCCATCTATTCCTTGCGGGTACACATCACAAAATGCATGCTATTCCCTCTGTTGATGTTGTATAAAGTACTAGAAGAAAACATTTCCACATTTGTGGACTTCAGCAACTTTATTCAAAATATAAGACTACAAATTCAGTTTCAGATTGAAGCCAGTCAATAGCACATTTAGATTTTTTTCTAGCAACTATTAATACTTTTCTAGTTGGCCAAAAAAGAGAGTCCTTCATGAAGCTGTCAGATGTAGTTCTTTGTTCACTCTGTACAATGCTTTCATTCCCAACACAATGACAGACAGAGAAGTATTGTGTTTTCAAATGTATTACAAGGAATCCTGTGATTTAGTTGTTCCTATAAAAGATTTATATTCAGAGATTATATATTCTGAAGTGAAATAATTTTCTCCTAATTATCCTTCTCTTATATTCTAGACCCAAAATTTAGAACACATTTGCTTACAGCAATATCATATTTCCGGAAAGGGCAAGTGACTTTTTTAAAAGTTATCTATTATTTTGTTGCCTGTTCCTTGAATACTGCAAAGGAAGGGCTACTTCGCTTTCTCTCTGTACTCTAACGTAGTGTGCATAATCTTAAATGATCTTTTGATTCACCATGCTACAAAAATAAGTAGACATACAAAACCAAAAAAGGGCATGTAATACTCTAGACGGTCAGCATTTTTCAAAAGTTTAATACTTAGTGCACCACTTGCACTTTAGTGACAACAAGAGATAGCCCTATGCTACACTGGAAGACACCATTTTTTTTACCAATGATTTGCAGAGAACTGATAAGGTGTTTGATGCCTTGATTTGCTGAGCAGACACCTGAAGTGGTATGTCCTATCCCCCCTCCCCATTTTCACATCTTCCCTGCATCACTAGGATTCTCGTCACTTGCCTCAGCAGTTCCATTTCCATCTGGAGGCTGCTCAAAGGCAATGTTAAATTTTGGCATGAGGTCATACTAAATACCATGTGTCCAAGCTTTGTGTCACAGCACATGTCACAGTTCCTTGAAGCAACTCTCTACAGGAGAAGAGAAACAATTTTTCTGTGTTGCCCCTCTGTGTACTAAATAAGCTTAGAAAAGACCTTTTCCTCAGCATGGAAGTAAATGGTAAATGTGGAGAGATTCTGTTTAGAAAGATCAAAAACCAATAATGAGCAATATAAGCTTTGGTATATTGCTTTTAATATATACAGCATAATTTCATGTATAAATTCATGTATACTATTGCATTTTGAAACACACTTATGGTGTTAATGGCAAGGTAATCCTGCATTTTTCTAGATGGGCATTCTTAGACAGGATAACCACGGTTAGGTTCATAAATTCATTCACTTATGTTAAAGGTGCCTAATTTTACAAAACAACAGCTACAACAAACTAACTGAAATCAGCAATATATCTGAAAATAAGAGGAGAAAAAAACCATGCATCAGACTTCAATTCAAGACTGCTTTTTAGTTTCAGGGAAAAGAACACTTACCACAGTTACTGATGATACCTCAGTTCACCTCAAAGACTAAACTGAGTATATACCAGATTCTATTAGAGTTAACTTCTAAAGGGAAAAGTCAATGCCTCTAACAAAGTAAAAGTATTGATTTTTTCCACCTGCTAAAAACAACCACAAACAAGTTAGAAAGCCCTGTGTTCTAAGAATAAACAAGAGTTGCATAATTACTTATTTCAGCTTGCAACAGCAAAATTATTTTTCTCCATTATTATTAGAATTTATTTTGTTATTCTTTTTTGATAAATGCAATTAATGCTTTATTTAAAAAATGAATAAACACATCTCAAAATCGCCAAGATTTACTCTCACTTAAATGAAAGCGCAGTGGCTAAATAAGCCCCACTGCTGGAGTTCAACACCTGAAATTTCTCTATTGATGTTATTAGAATAACTACATTAGAATTCTTCCCAGAGAAAATTTCTAGACTGTATGTGTTTGGGTTTTTTTAAGTTGTGGCAATTGTGGATAAGTGATATCTTTTATCAGTTTTTCCCCTCATATGAAATAAGTTAATGGTTCTGACTTCCCTACATGAGAGAAATATTGTATTGTACAGGTAATATTTAGCTTTAATATATATTAATTAATTTTACAAATAGACTTTGCAAGTGAACACCTGACCTCAAAACATGTTCTAGTCTGGCACATGACCAATCCCATGTATCCTATGTATCAGTGCAGAAAGTGACTAAAATACATCAAGTATTTCAAATTGAAAACCAGCTGTTTCTGAACACCATGCAAAGTTGACACGTGCGTGCATTTCACCATTTCAAACAACAGATGCAGTCATTTCTTTATTCATGAAACTGGAGAGAAACAGCAAAAATAATGGCCTCACTTGCTAAGCAAAAGAGTCCACGACTTTACCTTTCTTAGCTTCTGAAAAACACAAAGGCTTACCTTTCTGTACACCAGCATGTTTGGGGATTCATCAGCCACCCCATTGCTGCTTTGCCCATAATTATTTCCTTGTGCCATGTCCCACAAATTTGATCCGCTTTTGGATGTTGCACTGTAAAAGGTAAAAGTGGTTTCAGTAAGGAATCACCTCAGGTCTCCTTGTTTCCCTGATGATTAATGGACCTGACTTTCTCTTAACATGTTAACAAAATCGGTGTATGCTCTTACTCCAACGGATATTTAAATTGGAGCAAAGCTGCTAATTCACCATTTACTGTCATTACTCTCTTTTGCCTGTAAATAATGGATGTAATACGTTAATCTAATTTAGACGTTAATGAATTGTCATTCCGAATAGCTCCCTGACACACCGCTAACCACCACATCACGCAGACGCTTCCTGACAAAGCGCTCCTTCCTCCCCTTCGCGGGCTCCAACAAGGGAGCTCCGCACCTTAAAGGCCAGTTTTAGGAGGACTGGCTCGGGCCATGACGCATATTCCGCAGCGTCCTCTGTTCACGGCTCGGGCCGTAGCAACTTTTGTAACATTCAAACTCACAAAAAGCAAACCAGACGCTTTGAACTTCTCTGTAATTCACCGTCACATCTGTGCTCATACACATATGCCGGGGCAGGGAAGTGGGTGACGAGGGAAAAGGAAGAAACAAGCCAGAACACCTTTGGGTTGCTTTCACTACTTTGATCGTACTTCATCGAGCAACACCGGCTCCCCGCCAGCCCCATCTCCTCCCCGCCCTCCCTCGGCTCACACGGGAGCTGCACCAGGCAGGAGCTGGGATCATGCCGTAGCTCCGGCTTTGCACGCAGGTGTGAGAATGTGCTCCATCTACAGACCACACCGGCGGTTGCGGAGAGCCCGGAGAGCCGCCGAGCCCCGCTCCAAGCACTCACCTCCACAGCCCTGCCCTGCTGCCCAGACCTCTCTCGTCCGGGCTCCGCTGCCCCCCGTCCGCTCGCCGGCCCGCGCTGACCCCGCACCGCCGGCCGAGGGTGTGCGGCTCCGGATGGCCAAGGGCCGGGAGCACCGGCTCTCCCGCGGGCAGCCCGGCGCGGAGCCTGGCGCTCCAGCTCCAGCACCCGCAGCTCCAGCACCGCGGACAGCGCCAGCGGCAGCAGCGGTGGAGCCGTCTGGGATGGCCGGCGGGAGCGGGGCCCCGGCCCCCCGGCGGGCGGCGCGGGGCGGGGGGCGCGGAGGGGCGCGGAGCCTGCCCGCTCGTTTACCTCCTGGGCCAAGGTCACTGCGCGGTGGCCGCGGCTCCTGCCTCCTCCTGCTGCTCCTGGCGCGCCCCGCGCGGTGGGTGTCAGCCGGCGGCGGGCGGAGGGACGCGGCGATCGCTCATCACACACACGCACACACACGCACTGCGGGCGGAGGCGCTGCTGCTGCCGCCGCCGCCGCCGAGGCTGCGGCTCTCCTGTGCGCTGCCGGAGCGGCGGCGGCTCAGCTCCCTCCCCGCAATGGAGCGGCCGTCACGTGGGGGACGGGCACGTCAAAGGTGCTGCCGCTGCCGCTGCTCCGCCACACAGCAGCAGCAGCCCTCCTCCTTCTCCTTCTCCTCCTCCTCGGCGCTCTCGGCTCGCTCACCGAAAACAGCGGCCAAGAAACTGCAGCAGCCAGCAGATCTGGCAGCAGCCCCTATAAATGAGATTAGGCAGCACTGGAAGGCTGAGCAGGAAGAGAATGTGGGCTAATGGGATAGGGGAGGGGAGGGGAAGGAAAGGAAGGGAAGGAAAGGAAAGGGGGGAGTTGGTGGGGAAACTGTCGCGTTCTTCATACTCCTTTATCGACAGCAACAGGGAATCAGCCTCTTCCTCTGCGTTATGCTGGACACTTTCTGTATTTTTTTCAGTGAGAATTAGGGAGAGCTTGTGCCCTGTTGGCACTGCAGACCTCTCTGAGCAGTGGCACAGAGAGAGCAGAGAGCGAGTCTGTTCCAGCCAGAGAGGAAGAAGCCCTGAGGACACCTCAAGACACCTTCGGGACTGTTTTGCTATGTCCCAGGCAACTGCCTAATTTGTGAAGGCCTCGTATTGGCCACGACAAAAGAAAAAGATCAGGTCTGTCAGTCTTACTTCCTCATCACATACAGACAAAAATATTTTGCTTTTCCAAAGAGGTTGAAATGCCCAGAACTCGATATCCACAAGAACACAAGATACTTAAGTGGTTAAGCTTTGGGATATTCCCATCTGAAAGTGTCTTTTCTGGAAACAGTAACTCTTACTATAAGAATGATCTTGCAAAAGAAGTCGTCATCAACTGTGCACTCCACCTTGTGGAGTGTGCACTGGTAAATCATGCAATTCAAGAACAGAGGTTTCCATACATACTGAGTCATGTCAACCCTTACTTGCTCTATTTTTCTCACACCTCAGACAGACTCAAACCAGCACTTTTCCTGCTAGAAGTTTGTTATTATCCAATACTGCAACTTTTAACTACTCTTCCAAACTTTGCAGAGGCCTTCAGATACTTTAACAGAGAATGTGATAAATTAGCTAAGGCAACAATAGGGAGTCATAGTGGCCGCAACAAAACGAAGGAGAAAGGAAAAAGCAGACTGGACTTCTTGGAGACATAAAGAAAGGAAGACACAGGTTTGATAATGGTCACAGAACCATTCATCAGAGTAAAGAAAGATGAACTCCAGCACGAACAGGAATGTTTTGTAGAGACAGAAGTAGTAAAAGGTGAAATAACACAACATAGGATAACAACCATCAACTCAGGTCAATGAGATACATTGGCAGAGAAGTGTGTCTCAACTTTGACAGAGATTTAGAATAATTTAGTATGTCAAAAGGAAAAGGCAATATGAAAACAAATGGTGTGAAAAAGAGAAATCTGGAGTTTTAAGGTGGAAGAGAACAAGGGAAAGAATTAAACAGCACAAGTGTAAAGTGAAGAAGTATCAATGTTGAAAACAGTGGGAAGAAAAATTTATGAAACTAAAGAATAAACAGAGAATGGAGGAAAGACCTGTTTCCCATTAAAATTCATTTGACATACAATAGCGTCTTGGAGAGGCTAATGAAGTCTGAATCAAAATATTAATCTTCCAACAGATCCTGTGATTCAGTCCAGTCCACTACTGAGAAATGGGAACCAGCAGTAAAGATCTCAGTCTACAATTTCCCTAGCTTTCACACAGGCATTCCAAAAGAGCAGCACTGCAGTGTTCAGAGCTCACCAATTTGACTATATAAGACTGACAGGTGCACTGGAAGATGAGGGAAATGCCTCCCCAGATCTGCTAAGAACACAAGTGACGCCTTGTGGCTGTACGGCATGAAAACAAACTCAAAAATCTTATTTATCAGACTGGTGTTTAAATTTCTTTTTGAGAGTAAAAATGAGAACTTCACAAAATATAGTTCAAATGTATTTTTAACCTCAAAGAGGGATAGAAGGAAAAACCTTAAAAATATTGATAATTCCTTCCACTTGTTCTACAAGACAACACTTAACATAGTAATTGTGTTAAAGGGCATAAAAACCAAACATTAGCAAGTCTCCAGTAAAATCATATCTTTGTTTTCTTAATCTGAGTCTTTTTTTTCTTTGAAAATATTCAAATTTTATTAACATAAATGCAGTTCTAAAGCAGAGCAATGACGTGGGCTCGCTGAAGTTATTAGGTGTTTTTCCAGTAATGTCAAAAGGAACTATATTCCACATAGTGTTTAATCTCGTCCTCAGAACCAGAGGAATAACTTAGACATATCAGTGATGTGTCTCATAACTACATGGTTGTTACATTGGATAGCTTTGGTGGACCATCAAAATTTTTTTCACTTCACCAGCATGTTCACTGTCAAAACAAAGTAGAAGTTCTAAACCCTAAAGGGGTTAAACAGAAGAGAAGACCATAAATAACCCAAAAGAATTTCATTTTTGGCACTATTTTGTGGTGAAAGAGACCCTAAGCTGGACTACTTCCATAAATGCAAGTAGAAAGAAAATAATATGTAATGGGATAATCTCATTCTATTGTAGTTGGATGTGTTTGTTCAATAGCCTATAAAAGGCTTTAATTCATAAATTACTTACACATCTTTCCTATGTTGAAAGTCATCACTTATCTCATAGGCAACCAGCATTAGCCTCCCCAGAAAGCATGGTCTGCCAGAAGAGGAATGGCCTTTTCAAAATGCAAGGCAAAACTACTCATTAATAAAACAAAGATGATGGGGAAAGGCTGCCAAGGGGCAGCTTTATCTAACAAGGCAATAAAGTACTCATGATTGAGCAAGGTGGTGACTACATTTTCTGTGTTTAGTTTGAATTGTCAATACAACTCAAGTATTCCAATAACATCACATGCACATGGCACTTTTAAGTAAGAACATTATGTCAGGATGTATACAACAATCTATCTGGACATGATCAGAAATTTTGCTTTCTGTCCTGCTGACCAGTACTGTAGCATTATGTCAGTATGCTGCCTATATCTATCAATTTATCTTGTCTTATGCCTAGACTGAATGTTCCTTGGAGTAAAGACATGCTGTGCAAGCTCTTAGCACAGCATGATCTTGTTCCATGACCAAGTCTTTAAAACATTACAGCATTATAAACAGTCACATTCATATTTACTAAAATAACACAAGCATTCTATTTAACTAGGCTCTAAACACTGAAAAGACTTAATATAAAGTCTTTTATACTTAAAGTATAAAACCCACTCTTTTTTTCCACTAGCCTGGTTAAGCACAGAGACTGTCTACTTTATTTGAACTCATATATTTGTGACCCTACAGAACTACAAGTGTTTCACTGCCAAGCTCTGAGCAGGTAGCTAGTGATTCCAGGCCCAATCCTTGGCCTCTTTGATGGGATCTGAATACCTGCTCCTTCAGGAGTGATTGGCAATCAATCTATTTAATGTAGGTTTTCAAATGTCATTCCCATGACTACAGGTTACAGTATGTATTTTCTAGAACTGAACCTAGGACTGACTTACACAATTCACCACTTCCTTCATGGCCCTTTTTTTAAGCTCTAAGCATTTGGTTTGTCACCAATCTTCCAACCCTATTGGAATTTTAAATTTCTTTGTCTATTTATGCTGCTGAAGTACCAAGCTTTTGTTGCTTTGGTACTCTGTTGGTTAGGGAAAGAAGGAGGTCACTAAAAAGCAATCTGGATTTAACAAGAAAAATTATTATTTGATAGAAAAAGAAATGAGTCGTGGACAGACAATTTCACAGGAATAGAAAATTATTAGAAATAAGGAAAGCCCACATTTCCATAATCTTTTTTTTAAAGTATGAAATATAGGTATATATGCACACCCCCACAGAGAACACAGTACAATTTGCATATATTTAAAACCTTCATGCAAATATTTCATACCCTACTGAAAATGTCGATTATTACTGGAATAGAAAATCCACAGCTACATAGAATTTGATACCAATATGGTGGTCCACCAAAGCTATCCAGGGAAATCCAACAGCTTCTGCAGGCAAAGCAGAACAGTCTGAAGCACTTGCACTGCAGTCCTGACAATTTAGCCAGTTCTAACTTTACCCAAAAGAGGGCAGACTTTCTCAGGCAAAGAGAAAGGTTATGGTAGCTAGCTGACATGCAACTAGGATTTTTTTTCCCACAGAAAGAGCTACCACAACCGGTTATATACCCTCATTTCCTCATAAAGTGAGAGTGTTTACAGAAATGAAACATATCATATACACAGCATTCCTTTAAAATTGCCTGGAAGAACCATGATTAATTAGTCCCAATCTTATAATAAATTTCCAACTGAAGAAATCAATCAAGTATGTAAGGATAGAACTAATCTCTAGAGGGAAAAAAAAAAAAGATGGGGTTTAGAGGCAAATTTGCATGTCATCATACCAACATCCTTGACTCAAGCATGGTTCTCAATCCTGGTCTTCCAGCTTCCAGGGGAGGTTTTTCCATTTTGTGTAAAAATATTATTATTTACCCTGAGTTTGCCAAATGGGACACTGTCTCTGCTTCAGATAAAATAATTAAAGTAACAGTGTATTGCTCTCAGCATCTCTTATCACTTGGTATTAATGACACTCTCCTCAGAGGCAAAGATGAGCTATTTATAGGTTAGTATCTACGTCTTCAGATGCCATGTACTTCACATAGGAGTGTCCAGTTACTGAGAACTTAATATAAAATAGGGAAGGAAAACACAGTGATGTGGTTTTGTAAATTTAGCTACAATCCTTTTAGCCCAAGATATTAGCTTAATTCAACCTGACGGTAGTTTCAGATTTAAAAAAAAAATATCCATTGTATTTTTTTTGTGACTAAACCAACACACCAAATTACAGGCTCTTCCCCTTCATTCCTCAAGAAAATCTCTCAGGCGGGCCTGATTCATAGGACAGCCTTTGTTCAGATCAAAATAGAATAATCCACT